GGAGGACGGTGGCCGGCGAACGGTGGCCGGAGAGAGAAGAGAGGAGGGAGGAAAGTTTTAAAATACCAAAAATATCCTTGCATTAATATTTTAATTCAAAATTGCCAAAATTATAAATTTCCTAATTTATCTATTGATTTGTGGTTAATATTGGTTCTCACGGTTACCACAAACTGATTAGTTCTCATTTGATTAGCCCCCTATATATATATATATATATATATATATATATATATATATATAGTTGGGTTCCGGTGAGAATGAAAGTTATAGTGAAAATGGATTTCCACCTTTGGATCAACACTAATGCGGTGCACCGAGATTTATCGGATCAATTATCATGATAAGTGCAATTCATGGAGTGGGGGTAACAAAATATCCAAATTCCTTCTTACAGTGTCCATCTTAACTCATATTCTTACACGGTCGTTCATGTGTATATATATACATATTCTTTTAAATTTTTTTTATTTTAATTAATTCATTTTTATCAAGTTTTATATAAAAAAAAATTAGATATATTTTTTATAAAAAAATCACAAATTTCATCTAACATGTGATATCCACAATGAAATTTATTATCTTTTTATCATTTTTTTCTCTATTTTTTGAATCCACGTTTTGAATCACATGTGATTAGTTTCGTTTAACATATGACCAATTCTGCGAATTCTTGTACATATCACATATGATAATATACGTGTGAGCATATGTTACGTATTATCACATGTGATAATAGGCGTATGAATATAATTGACATATTCTCATACGTGATAATACTTGCATCACAAAAAGATCTATAAATGTAAATATACATAATCACATATGTGCTAAAAACTTGTAAATCAAATTATTACAAATTTATCTTTGTTATGCAATCGGTTTATTATTGATTATTAGAAATCAGTTGGAAAACAAACTCAATTCCAATCTATTAGGGATTATCATGACAGTTATAGAGAATATCATTTTTTCAATTTAATTTAATAATGTTTTATTTAATTCATTTGTTAAATAAAGTATATGCACATATTCCTTCTCGGTCTTATCATAAATTAATTTGGTTTTTGCATGATTTTTCCTCATTAAGCTTGATTTGGATTATTCCGTTTGACCACCTTGTAATCTTGTTTATGTCCACAAACAACAAATGATATATATATATATATATATATATATATATATATATAGAGAGAGAGAGAGAGAGAGAGAGAGAGAGAGGAGCGTTTAAATAAAAACCACTCAATTTGTACAAACCGTGAAAACCACATTCAACCAATCATAATTTTTCATTTTGTTCATTTTTTTGTGATTATGAGAGATTGATTAACCATTTTTATTGTGGAGGGTATTAATCATGGATATTATGTCTTCATTATTTTAATTTTAAATAAATACATGAAACAATTTCATTAAATATTGTATGAAACAATTTCATAACCATATATGATATAAATTCATCAAAAAAAAGTATTATATGAAACAATTTCACAATATTAAACAATTTCATGAATTTTTTTTTCATAAGATTAAACAATGAAATCGACGTATGAGAATGGTTTGTACGGTTTGTACAAATGAGGGTGGTTTTCATTTGATCGCTCCTCTATATCTATATATCTATATCTATATATCTATATCTATATATCTATATATATATATATATATATATATATATATATGAGTCCATTCAAGGAAGAACTGACTAGTTTGTGGTAATCGTGAGATCCAATCTCAACCATAAATCAATAGATAAATTAGGAAATGTATAATTTTGAATTAAAATTTTAATACAATGACATTTTAAGTATTTTCTCTCATCTCTTCTCTCTCCGTCCTCCGGTGATACCACTGTGATACCTAAAAATATTGACTCTGTTAAACAAAAGACACAATGTGATACCCAAACATATATAAGATGCATTGAGGTACCACTATGTTACATCTCCGATCGACCACACAAACGACCTCAGTGGATCTCACGGTTACTACAAACTATATATATATATATATTTCTTTAAATGGTTAATTGCTCTTTGGTTATGATAAAAGGAAGCTTATATTCTTTTTATTTCATAAGTTTTAGGATTTATTTATTTAGAAAAAAATTCAAAAACTTAATTACTTGAGATATGAAAATACGTTAGAAAAGCTTTTCAGATTGTTTCAAAGATTTACCCGTTACAGAGATGCATTTAGAGCTTATCTGTTCATGAAAAATTTGAAGACTCAAAATGTCAAACTTTAATGTGACACTTTTTCTATGAAGTCAAAAAAGTGAAAGAAACATGTGTTCTGCGTTTTCTTTCATTGTCCATGTCGTTTTATCATGTTGAAGCTTGAACAATAACATAACCATCCCCTAACATCTGGTCTCGACGCAAATTCAGGGGGTGTTTGATAAGATGTATTAAACAGTAATTAATGGGAATGAAAATAAAAGAAATTGTTTGGTTTTTTATAATATAATAGGTCTATTCCCTCAGAAGCCCAAATTTTCATTCCAGGTTAAACTGAGGGGAATGAAAACTCATTCCCATTTTTATTCCCTGTCATTTACATTTTCATACCCATTTTCATTCCTCTGCTTGAACCAAACGCCCCCTTAGTGTCGAATTATTTATACCAAGAACACGCACCAACCATCAAATCTGTATATATGAAAACCTCCTCTATTTTTATTTAAACACCTCTTTTGTTCTTGGAGTCCATGTCAACTAGACACGAATCATCAAACCTGTATCTGGCTCTAGCTCCAGAAACTTATCATTTTCTACATAAATTTACAAAATTCTGAAAGAAACCAACCATGAAGAGTTTTTTGTTTTTCATCAAAAGATAGGTAAGGTAATTTTCAAGTTAAGTTTGCAAAGACAATTCATATGTATTAAGCTACTTGTACTATTATTTATTCTTAATATAATGAACAGATAAAGATACCTTCGAATCAAGCAGGGGAGATCGTTAAGCCTCGTAATACGATCCATCTTCCTCTCTTTGTATCTCACTTGTGTTTGTAACTACCGAACTCCCTCCACCGATATCCGATACACCGCCTGATTCAGATAACTTGGTCACCCTCTGTAACTCGTCGGTCACCTCTGCTGAACGCGCTAGGAACTCTTCATCTGTCAATTGTTGTTCCTTTTCAAAGGGTGATTTTTTCGGCTGCCTGATGGCGGCTGCTGCTTCTGCCATTGCTACAGGAGGTGGCTGTGGTGGCACCCACGCAGGTCGTTGGACAGGTCTCTCACTGGGACGGCCTGTCTTGTTCTCTTCTGGTTCGGCTTCAGTGATTCGTACATTCTTTTGTTGCCACCAAGGAGCCGAACTATCCCCGTTAGACTGATAGACAGATGCAGATGGCCCATACCCGTTATCTTGACCAGAGGAATTAAGTCCATTGTTGTTTTCATGAGGATAGGTTGAGCTTCCCTGTGATTGCGCAGCCTCCCAAGGCTAGTCGATAGAAGCACAGAAATAGTGTTAGTGGCAATTGGGCTGGTATAAAGAATACGTAAAATAGAAGCAAATATGTGTCCAAAACATATTTATTTAAAATACAGTGTAAATAAGGAAAGTTCGAGTGATAACCATAAATATTTTGAGAACCTCGGATTCATGATGAATTGAATAATCATGGATATTATTTGTCATGGATAGCATACATTTTTATCATGACATTCATCATGAATAAAGCATAAACAGTTGATTCCCAGGTTCTCAAATATTTACTGTAATCATTTGAACCAGCCCCTACCATAAGCTATGTATCTAAATATATCATTCATTCCACAAGCTCAAGTTCAGGAAAACGAAATTGCAAACTTCAGATGCAATAAGCATGTAGAAGCTGAACCTTTGGTTTCGGTGCTAAGCGAGGATTTGATACAGGTTGGTCAGGGTTTGGTGGCAGATCATTGATGTCCTGAAGCAAATGAAAACCGTTAAGTATTAGGACTAAACGTACTCAAGATAAACCTCCCCTCCATGGGAGCCAAAAAGAAGAAAGAAAAAGTCTATTTACTCGGATGTTGGGAGGCCTCTCGCCTCTTTGAACCATAGCCATGATCTGCAAGCCAAAGCATCAAAAAGTGGAGCTTTAGCACAACCTAAGAATTTCTTACCTAACCTTGAAACTAAATTAATTGTCATTACAATTGCTTTTATTTTGATGCTATGAAGGTTTTATTGCTTTACGAAGGTGAAAAAGGAAAGAAGAGAATGATGGTTTAGCAGATTAGCCTGTATTTTTCATGTATATAATAGCTGACAAATTGGCACACAGAAACATTACCTCCATATAAGATTTTGGGTGGGGTGGTTCTACAGATGCAGGTGGTGGTGACAAGGATCTTACTGTTCACAAAAAAAGCATTTGTCATGCAAATAAACAACTAATAGTAAGAAACAAAACGCACGTCCAGTTTTTTACCAGTGATCATTACCTGAGCGTGAGTCGTGGTCTGCCCTACTGCCATTTGCATAAGACGGCTGGCATATTGCAAAAATAAATGAATTAGTGGAAGACAAATGACTTATAGCATCAAATGGTCTTTCTACTGAGGCACTGTAAAGATATGTGTATATCTAACTCACCCTTGAGCTCGTGACTTGAACTTCTCGCCCTGGAATGTTGCTTTGTCCTGAAAAATACATGGAAACTTAGCAAGCTGATATAAGAGGAACATTTGTTGTCTTGTCCATGGTGATTTGACCAAATATTCAAATTGACATAATTTATTTTTCAATATATATTTCTTTTAAGAAAAACCAAAATATAGTTTTGTAAAAGTTAACAAAATTTTGGATAGATAATTTTTTTTCGATTTTGCTATATTTATCAATGTTCTAGTTTTAACTTCATCACATCGCATGTAGGACAACATGATAAGCAAGAAGGATTACACATGACATACTAAAATTATTAGTGTTCGTATATAGAGTATAGACTAGCTAAATTGATATGTTAGGCTTGGTGGTTCAGTGCCAACCCTTCTTTTCACATTCGAAAAGGTTTTAGAAACTAGTAATTCAACCAACAAAAACGTTCTTTGATCTTGCTAAAAGAATGCAAGCAAGTTTTCATGCGAGTTAAAATATTTTTACCCTGAGCACTAAAAGACTTTTTTCAGGTATGATAACTTTAGAAACGCATAAAAGAAAGAGCAACACATATATTATCAGATCATATATTATAATGAGAGACGATACTGCTGTTCAAGAAGTTGCAATTAATTAAGATATGCAAAAGTTCGTATGCTGTTAGGAAAACCATTTCTATATGATTAAAAGCAACTTCTGCTCTACTGCTACCTTCCAACTTCTTTATTGAGTTACTCATCGATTTCATTTCCTGTACTTGCATGTCCAAGAGACTCATGAGTTCCCCAAAGTATCTTTTCTCTGGAAAAAGCGAATGTGTCATCAGATACAAAGAAAACAACTCTTATACGTCAGTGAAGAAGGGGATAAAAGAAACAAAGGAACATCAAAACAAGAAAAATAAAGATAATGAAATTTAGGCAGTAGTTTACAATCCCACCTTCAGTTTTTGATAGCAACATCTCCTGGCTGGCACGTGCAACATCTGATGCTGCTGCCGCTGCAGCTTTTGCAGCAGCAGCAGCTTCTTCAGCTAGTGTTGGTTTTGCATCGGCTTTCTTTGCAAGGTCCTCTTCTCCTTCTTCATGAACAACTTTACGTATCCAAGATTTCAATCTAGGAACAACAGCATTCTAAGACCAAAAAAATTGTTACCCGATTGCATAATTCAATAAAAGATCTGAAGTACTTGGTTACCTCAAAGTAAAAACATAAATGGTAAAGGGATAAAGAATAATTTTGCATGAGAACTGTTTCACTGATTGAACAGCAACATCAACCAAAAGGTAGAAAGTCAGCTAATAGTTAACTGCAACACACCACCAACTTGAAAGTCAAATTCCTTGGTGGAGCAATTTTAAATTGTTTTTACCTTAAAAACTACAGCTGTCCCAGCTCCTGAGATAGCAAGAACTCCTACGGCAAGAAGAGCATGTGACCAATGGAACCGTGATGATGTCAAGGTCCCCAATTTAGAATCCGGAGCAGCTTGAGCAGCTGCTGCAGGTTGCTGATATTGAGTTGGCGGTTGTGCTTGAATGTTCGATATAGGCTGTGACTGGCCACCTATTATCAGATTCATAGAGATAATAGAACGTGAGATATCTTTTACTTTCTTCACTTCAAAATTAGGCACACGCTATTAATGTCTGTTAATTGGGACTCCCAAATCCTATGCTGGTGTACGCAAATTATACAGTCCGCTTATCAGTGCAAGGGAGAATGTTCGCTACTTTCACGTGACTCGGTAAGTCGCTCAACATGTCACGAACGACTTAAGGTATAATACTTGCGACTTCAATGTGATGTGCCCAATAAGTCCCGTACGAGAAACTGGACAACATTATAAGCAGTCTCAAGTCACCAATATGTCACATGTACTTTCAAGGAAAAACTGGGCCAGCAGCCAGGTGACTTCCCCCGAAAGGACTAGATGGGTTTTATTGCCATTTCTAGGTCACTTTGTTGGTCATCACATAATATACAAATAAACTTGGGTTGAACACTAGATTTGGGATTTAAGATTAACTAGCATTGATTAATTACAACAATTTTCAATGACTTGGGTTTATAACAATCATAAATATGGTCGTACATATGGTTGTACAACTTCCTATAACTGAAAAGCGTTTCTAGTGTCTAGTGGTTCAAGTATATTATTAATAGTATTGCATGTCAAACCATGACTGTTCTAGAGAAACAAAATTCACCTTGATTTGCGACAGCCGCCTGAGTAGTTGAAAGACTAGGGGATTCATCCTGCCATTCACATCAGATGTGAAACCAAATTATTAGTCTTATAATTGCATGTAAGGTACCACATTATGATGGAACATTATCAGTTGGCACTAATGGCAGATTAACAGTCAATCACAGGAAAGGGAAACTGGAAAAAACATGCATGACCAGAGGCAAAAAAAGCTTTCATACAGGAACACGTCGAAATGCTTCATCTATCTCCTCCTTCGTAAGTCCCTTCCTCTCAAGAAAAGACCGTCTATACATAACAGGAGATCCCTTAACCTTAGGGTGTGAAAGGAACTTCACAGCATTCTGCACTTGTTCCTCTCGTATTGGTTCTGTATTGACAAATATTGATGTTTCCTTGGCATCCGCTTTGTTGGCATCTTGTTGATCATCAACCGTTGGCTTTACCACCTCCGGAACTGTAGTCATAAGTTAAAACATAACTCTTATCAACTAAAGATTTATTTTAATATGCAACCATATCACTTATGGAGATCTTAAGGTTCATCCGTCCTCATCAAAGTCATAGGAGATGATGTACCTCCTGGGTCATGGGACATGAAGGTCATAATCCGATTAAAAAGTGCCTTCAGAGAAACTACAACTGGCTATAAATATAGAGAAATTGAGGGCATAATATAACTTTAACCGCTCTTCTCAACAGTAGATTCACTTTCAAACTAGGTTATCTCTCTAAATATTTTGACATCATCTACAGTGTTTTTAGCCATTCCCTCACCCTTAGGCGGTTCCACGGGAACAAACCGCTTGTTCACTGTGAAGGCTAGCCCTCGTTCTATGAAGGCTAGCAGAGCTAAGTCGTACGGAACCAAAATAGATGCTGCCATTATGCTTGTATTCTTATGAAAAACTTCCACAAGTAATCATAGGTTCTAACTAATTTTTGAAGTTGAAACATGGTCTGGTTTCAGTCAAATGCCAAACTGTATCGAATTTCAACCAGGGTATACCATAAGGGGGAAAGGGGAAGTCAATTAATTAAGATGAGCAACACACGTATTACTTCACTTAGAACTAATCTCAAACTAGGTATTTAATCAACTTCAACGTTGATAATCAAATAAAGCAGAAACTTGATCTAATTTTTCTCCTAAACAATTCAAAACACAAAACAGACAGTATCTAAAATAAAGTGGTCTTGAAGTAGATCAACTTAATTAAGCATAAATATTGATAAATTCAAACTCGCATATACATACATATACGATCCAGAGTTATATATAGAGAAAGATACCTGGATTCTGGGGATTTCCGTCAGTAGGGTTTGGAGGAGCTGCCATCTTCACACTGAAATTCCAGAAAACAGCAAAACCATAAGCCGATACACAAAGATTTGTGCTTCTCGTTTGAGCAACTTGAAGATTAAAACAAACGATCAGAGGGAGTGATGAAAGCTTACCGCAGGAGATTATGTCAGCGACAGGATTAGGGACGAGGGGTTTGCTCATCCCGAAGCCAAAGTTTACATAATTGCATTGCCACGTTTGATTATATGGTCCTTGGAGTTTTCATTGATTTGTATATTTAGTCCTCCTATTTCTCTATTCAACGTCACAAAGAAGGGAACCCAGGCCATGGTGGATGATAATACCATCGTTTTTTTAATTAAACTGGATATTCAACCCATTATATGAGACGACTAATCTCAGGACGACCACCTATTTTACAGATAATCCGGAGTCATCGCATTTGAACCTCCGTGGTCACAAGAAGATTTTTATTTTTTCTTGGATTTAAATCTGGAACCTACAGATACTTTTGACTTTTAGAGCCAAACTCAAACTAATCAGGCACCACCCTTGTGGTTGATAATACCATCGTTGTAATCATCTCAAAAGGTTAATTACATAATTTGAAAGGTTTAAACAGATTAGATTTTTAATCTGAGATGCAAATGCAATGACATTTTCATTATATTAATTGCCATTGAAAACTTTTTGAGTTTTATAATATCTTTCTTTATGATCTAATTAATTACTATAAATAAATATATCGTTTTTGAAATAGTTTATAAGGAAGTTTTTTTTATTAACCTGGATAAGTAATCCGTTATGCGAACCGACCAATTACAGAATAACCACCTATTTTGCAGATAGCTTGGAGTCACCGCATTTGAACCTCCGTGGCCACAAGAGGATTTTTATTCCTCCTTGGATTTGAACCTGTGACATCCAGGTACTTTTGACCTTTGGAGTGAAGCTCAAACCAATCAATCATCACCCTTGTGGTTGTTTATAAGCAAGTTTTTTTATTAACCTGGATAAGTAATCCGTTATACGAACCAACTAATCCCAGAACGACCACCTACTTTGCAGATAGCCCGGAATCACCGCATTTGAACCTCCGTGGCCACAAGAGGATTTTTATTTCTCCTTGGATTTGAACATGTGACCTCCAAGTACTTTTGACCTTTGAAATCAAGCTCAAACCAATCAATCACCACCCTTGTTATAAGCAAGTTTATTGCAACACTACTTGTAGTAGTGTTTTGATTTAGTTATAAAGACATGTTTTAACGATGTTTATGTAATATAAAACTAAACTTATACTTATTTTATTTCATAGATAATAAAAATGTATTAAATATATTTTTTGAAAAATTGTTAATTATTTAGGATATGTGAGGTATAATGTTTATATTTATATTTATATCATATCTAATGGTTATTTAAAATCGTAAATAATAGATTTGTTTGTATTAGTTGATATATTATATTATTAGAGATTTGTTTCAATTATATCTTGAAGGACTAGAAGGGTACTCGCACAATGCAACGAGATATATCTCGATTTTATTGTTTCCTTTTATTATTTGTTTATTGATATAATACAGTTTTATATTGTTTTGAGAAAATGATAATGTTTTTATTTTTAAATAAAATATAAATTTAAAGATATTGTAATTAAAATTCTGAAAAAAAAATCGATATTAGTATCAATTAACTGTTTAAAAGTTCTCGTTTTTTGTGTAAAGTTTTTGATTCAATGTTTTTATTATAATTTAATTTAAGTCTAATAATGATTCAATTTATTTGTGGTTTAATAATATAATTTTTTATAAAGATAATAATTAAGTATTTTATTATAACTCAACAATTATCCTAATTATTTTTTAGATTTTTTATATTTAAAATATGATATTTATCATGTATATGATTATGTTTATCTGCAGTTAGTTACACAAATTCAAAAATGAAGGTTTAATAAATTGTACTTATGCATAATTTACTTGTAATCTTGAACTGTAAGTAATATGCATCAATATACAGTACTTCATGCATAAAAAATAGTTTATAAGAATTTTTGTCAAATGCTTTTAATATAGTATAGATTAGCTATTTTTTGTTTTGATGATAAAATCAGATTTGGTTATGATTATGGTTTGGATTATTTTTATATTAGACAAGATAATTTAATTATCCCGTGGCATTATTTTTTAAAATAGATAAGAGATAACAACTAGCAATTTGGATTTGATTAGAGTATCTAATCTATCAAAACACTTTAATACCCTTTATTATTTAACTTCAGGTTATAACCCTTAATTATCCCTTAAAAATTGAAATTCATGTTATTCTTGTAAATTAATCATTTCTTATTTGAGCCCCTCGCTCTCTCTCACACACACACATATATATACTAGAAGGATACTCGTGCAATGCAACGAGATAAATCTTCATTTTAATGTTTAGTTTTTATTATTTGTCTATATCGATATAATACGATTTTATTTGATTTTAAGAAAACGATAATGTTTTTATTTTTGAATGAAATATAAATTTGAAGATAGTATAAAAAAATAAAATCGATATTAGTATCAAATTAACTATTTAATAATTCTCTGTTTTTTTGTGTAACTTCTTTAATTCAATTTTTTATTATAATTTAATTTAGGTCTAATAACAAAGTAATTTATTTTTGACTTGATAATATAATTTTTATTAAAGATAATAATTAAACATTTGGTTAGAAACTCAATGATTATCTTAATTATATTTTAGATTTTCTATATTTAAAATATATGTTTATCCTGTATTTGATTATGTTTATTTGCAGTTAGTTACACGAATTTAAAAATGAAGTTTTCATAAGTTATACTTATGCAAAATCACTTGTAATCTTGAATTTTAAGTAATATGTATCAATAAACAGTATTTCATGCATAAAAAATGGTTTTTAAGAATTTTTATCGAATTATAATATAGTATAGATATATATAACAAATTTTGCAATATAATTAAAGGTGGTACTTTCAAGGCTAGGCTTGATCCTAGATGGCATGAGTCCTCTATTTTTGAAGGCGTAGTTCTTACTTAAAACTTAGTATTATGTATTCATACTTAGGGGTGTTTGGAATTTCTTATTTCGGTGTGGTACCGGTAATAAACATTTTTTAGTGTTTGGATAAATAACTTATACCGGTAACAAAGAGTTTTTGAAGAAGTTAAACCCTTCTGACTTATAATAAGTTAATAAGTGCTTTTATATAAAAGCATAAGTTGTTTCAATTAAGCAATCCTAAACACCCCTTAATCACGAGTGTAATAAGTTAGCTCTTCGTACAAAAAGTTTCACTAATTTTTGGACAGATTGATGCTGCACCAAGAGCCATTCCTAGGGCCTAATTTTCATTGTTTGGAGTGTTTTTTTCGTTTGTTTGCTTCGATTGAGTCTTGATTGTTTGTTTTTAGCTTTGTTCGGTTGGGTTTGTGATGTTTGGGTTTTGGTGTCTAAGGCGCCGTTTACCTAAATGCTTACCCTGGTAAGTACTTAACATTAGGAGTCAACACTATAATTATTTTGTTGGGTAAGATTGTAGTACATTAAAACGTTTCTTATACAACAATTTACATGGTAAGCGCTTACCTGGGTAAGAGTCGTCACCCTCACTTACCGGGTAAGACTTTCCATCCTTATCATCGCTCTTACCGGGTAAGATTCTTGGTCCTTGTCATGTTCATTCGGTAAGAAAAATTACCCAGTAAGTACTTACCGGATAAGCGTTTAGTAAACGGCCTCTAAGTGTCTTAAAAGGATTCTTCTTCATGTTTTCTTTTTTGCAACAACTTATATCTTGATTTTGTTCCTTTTAATTGGTTTAATAAATTGTTTTCTTTTAATTGAAATAAAAAATATACAAATTTACATTACAAGGTTTAGATTTTTTTTTATTAACCTGAATATCCAACCCGTTATGCGAGCCGATTAATCTCAGGACGACCACGTGCTTTGCAGATAACACAGAGTCACCGCATTTGAACCTTCGTGGCCACAAAGGGATTTTTATTCCTCATTGGATTTGAACATGGGACCTCCTAGTACTTTTGACTTTTGGAGCCAAGCTCAAACCAATCAGACACCACCCTTGTGATTATAAGGTTTAGATTTAAAAGCTAAGGCTTGATGGAAATTGGGACTGGTCTCATAATTAGGTTTAAAAAGGGTAGGGCCTAATAAATTTCAACTCAAATACCAACTGAAATAAACTGTTCGATTAAAGAAGCTCAACGATGTTCATAAATGATTAAGATTTTTCATTAAAACTCCCAAAAAAATGGATCTACAAATCAACGCCCATCTCGTTTACGAGATTTGATGAGATTTGGTGAAATTTAAAAATGGATTTCATGTTAATTTCGAGTTTGGTTTAAAAAAAAGCCCGAAATGGAAATTCATGATTTTAATAAAATTCCATAAACATTGAATTTGGGAATCTTATTGAAGTAATTGGTATTTCATAAGATTTATTTATAATAATATTTTAGAATATGTTAAAAACGTGTGTATAATCATAATTAATTAAAATAAAACTAAATTATGCTCTAATATAAAAATAATTAAATACTTTTTTATTAATGGATTACTACAAAACAAGTGTTTTTCACATATTTTAAAAAATTATTACAAACAAATCCTGTAAAATCCAACAAAATATTAGTTATGGATCCACTTGGTTTGCAGGATTGTTTTTAGGGATTTGGATTTCATTGAGAGGTTTGAATTTGGATTGAAATGAATTTGAAATTATTGGTGTGTTTGGTATGTATGATTTGGAATGGAGATTCCATTACTTATAAAAAAATTATAAAAATAATTAAATTACATTTTTATTAATTGATTATTACAAAACAAATGTTTTTTATATTAAAACCTTATTTCATACAATTATACTAAAATCCCGTGAAATCTCGAGCACCTCCTAAGGATTTCAAAATCCTATGTTTGTAGGATTTCAAATCTGGACAATCCAACAAACCAAACATGAGATTGAAATGAATTTGCCAAATTTTCCTAACTAAATCCGTTCCATTCATGCAAGCCAAATGAAACATATGAGATTTCTAAATTCTAAGATTTTAGC